GAAGGGATCAGTTATCAGGCATCAAAGAACAAAAAATCATATCATTGTGAATGAGGGGGAGTGCACAGTGGGGACCCAAAGCCCACCTATAGGCAACTAGACATACCCTTACGGAAGGGTCGCATGGAGGAGACGAGCCAGTCAGGGTGCAGTGGAGCAACGATGAAACATACAACTTTCCTCTAGTTCTTAAATGTTTCCTCCCCGCCTTTCCCCGCCCCCCCACTATTATGATCAACTCTACCTTACAAATCTGTCCAGACCAGAGGATGTACACTGGCACAGATAGGAGCTGGAAACACAGGGAATCCAGGACAGATGATCCCTTCAGGAGAGTGGTAATAACAGGAGGGTGAAAGGAGGGTGGGGTAGAGAGGGGGAACTGATTACAAGGATCTACGTATAACCTCCTCCCCTGGAGGATGGACAACAAAAAATGGGTGAAGGGAGACGTCAGACAGTGTAAGATATGACGAAATAATAATTTATAAATTATCAAGCAGGGAGGGAGGGGGGAAAATGAGGAGCTGATGCCAGGGGCTTATGTGAAGAGCAAACGTTTTGAGAATGATGAGGGTAACAAATGTACAAATAAATGTGCTTGATACAACTGATGCACGTATGGATTGTGATAAGAGTTGTACAGGCCCCAATAAAATTATTAAAAAAGACAAGGATTTGTGTGTGTGTGCGTGTGTGTGTGTCCTGTCCAGTGGCATACCCCTAAGTTTCTATAATAGTAGCCCCTGTCTATGAGTATAGGTAATTAATGCCTGATGGAGAGGTATATGAGGTGGGATGGATAGATGGGTGAGTGGATGGGGTGAATGGATGGACAGGTGAAATAGACAGCAGGTGGGTGGGTAGGTGGATGGATGATAGGTGGGTGGCAAGGACTGGACAAGTGAAAAGGTGGGTTGGGTGGTAGGTGGGCAGGTGGATGGGTGGACAAGGGTAGATAGTGGGTGGTATTATGGGTCGATGGATAGGTGGGTAGGTGGGGGTGATGAGTGGATAGGTGAATGAAAGGGACCGAACGACAAAAACATGGGTGAAGAGAGAAAGGATGGTGTAAGATATGAAAATAATTTATCAAGGAGTCACGAGGGTGGGAGAGGGAGGGAGGGAAAAAAGAGGAGCTGATACCAAAGGCTCAAGTAGAAAGAAAATGTTTTGAAAATGATGATGGAAACATCATCGATGTATGGATTGTTATGATACAAGTGATGTATGGATTGTCAGAAGAGCTGTAAGAGACACCAATAAGATAATTTATATAAAAACAACCCTTGAAAACCATCAGCAGAGCACCAGCGCTCAGACACCACTTTCAAAGAATGGCTTAGCGTCCCTCCACCAGAAACTGCGCGTCACTCCTGCAGCGTCTACACAGCATGATGGGATGAAATGCACCTGAAACCAGTTCTGAGAAAGAGACTCTTCTTCACAGCACATTCTGAACACAGGGGGACAAAAGGTTGTGAAATGGTGCCATCCCTTGTAGAAGTTCTATGTGGCATCTGGCAGTTCTTCAAGGTGGCTTGCCCCAAAGCTAAGTATAAATCAGATCAACTCTTCTGATTCTACAAACCCTACCAAGCACCACCACAGCTGACCAAACCAAAAACCCACTGCCATCAAGCTGGTTCCAACTCATGGTGATGGTGGTGGTGGTGGTGGTGGTGGTGGTGCTGCTGCTGCTGCTGCTGCTGCCATTGTTAGGGGCCATCCAATGGGTTCCAACCCATAGTGATGCACAACAGACGGAAGCTGCCCGGCCAGCACCATCCTCACAATGTTCTATACTTGAGCTCACTGGTGCAGCCTTGGGGCCAATCTGTCTCCTTGGAGGTCTTCCTTCTCATCACTGCCTCTCTACTTTACCAAGCATGATGTCCTTCTCCAGGGACTGGTTTCTCCAGGCAACATTTCTGAACTAAGAGAGACAGTCTCTCAATCAAAGGAGTACTCTAGCCATACTTCTTCTAAGACAGACCAAAGCGACCTGTATAGTTTCCAAGGTGGTAATCTGTACGGAGCAGGCAGCCTTCTTGTTCTCCTGCAGAGCAGCTGATGAGTTTGAGCCACTGACCGCTAGAGGTCCCTGACAGCACCACCAGGGCTCCTTCACCCGCTGGAGCGCCACAGCTCTAGACCACCACAATAGATAACCAGCCCAAGAGTAAATCCTCCTCCCCTAGTTCTCGAAGAGCAGGGGGAAACAGCTTCGACCTCAGATATTTAAAATTTTCAAAAACAATGCTTTTTCACTTGACCTGTGTCAGCTTTTGCACACACACAAAGACCTGCAAAAGATCCATAGCCCTCCGAGCGAAGATAAACATCTTCTACCACTAACGCCACAAAACCCTGGTGGGGCAGTGAGTTCAACCCACCAAGTCCCCCTGGAAGAACAGTGAGGTTCCCTGCTCCTGTGGAGAATGACAGTCCTACAATTCCAGGGCCCAGTTCTACTCCATCCTCCAGGGTCCCTGGGAGTGACAATGAACTTGATGGCATGGGTTTGTTTTGGACAACACGAAAAACCACTCTTTCTCTTAGCAAATGAGGGCCATGCAAGACAGTATTTTGACTTCTCATGGACTCTAGACTTTCTGGAGCAACAGAAGGTAGGCATCCCATAGAAAGATGACCCAACAGAATGTACAAATTATAGAACAAAACCACTGATATCACATGGAAGTGAAATTTTACTGAAGATCATTCAACAATGGTTGCAGCAGTATATTGACAGGAAGCTGCCGGAGGTTCAGCCAGATTCAGAAGAGGTCATGGAACAAGAGAGATCACTACTGATGTCAGATGGATCTTGTCTCAAATCAGAGACTACCAGAAAGATGTTTACTTGTGTTGACTGCTCAAAGGCAATCGACTGTGTAGATCGTGAGAGCCTAGAGAATGGGAATTCCAGAACATGTCATCGTGCTCTTTTAGAACCTGCACATGGTTCAAGAGGCAGTTGTGTGAGCAGAACAAGGGAATAATGCTGCATGTTTTAAAAGGAGAAAGGTGCGCAACAGGGTTGTATCCTCTCACTCTTCTTATTCAATCTGTATGCTGCCCGAATCATCAGAGATGCTGAATGATATGAAGAATACTGTGCAAGGATCAGAGGAAGATTTATTAGCAACCTGAAATGTGCAGATGACCCAGCCTGGCGTGCTGAAAGTGAGGAGGACTTGAAGCCCTTGCTGATGAACATTAAAGATGGCAGCCTTCAGTATGGATTAAAACTCAATGTAATGAAAATAAACATCCTCACAACTGGATAAAGGTTACATCATGATAAATGAAAAGATTGAAATTGTCAAGGATTTGATATTGCTTGAATCCACAGCAATACTCATGGAAGCAGCAAAGAGATCAAATGATGCATTACAGTGGGTAACTCTGCTGCGCAAGGCATCTTTAAAGTGTTGGAAAGTATGGATGATACTTTTGAGGACTAAGGTACACCTGACCCAAGCCACAGTATTTTCAACGGCCTCATACACATATGAAAGTTGAATATTGAATAAGGAAGACAGAAAGAGAACCGATGCATTATGAATTACGGTATTGGCGAAGAATGTTGACAGTCCTGTGGACTGCCAAAAGAACAAACAAATCTGTCTGGGAAGTAGTCAGAATGCGCTGAAGATGACGAGACTTTTTTCTGACACACTTTGGACATATTGTCAGGAAGAGACGACTCCCTGGAGAAGGACACCATGTTGGTAAAGTGGAGGGGCAGTGAATAAGAGATGGACTGTCATAGTGGCTGCAACAATGGGCTTGAGTATGGGCATAATTGTGAGGATGGGGCAGGACGGGCAGCGTTTCGTTCTGTTGTACACAGGCGGGCTATGAGTCAGAACCAACTTCAGTGTACCTAACAGCAAAGGGGTAAGTGAACTCTTGAAACAAACGCCATGAAATGATCACTAAAGCTTAAGCCAAAACTGCCTCCTAAAGTCTTCCTATAGGCAGACACTTGTTAAACTTAACTAGTAATAAATGATCTGCCTTGAGCAATATGCTCATATCAACTAGCTAAGTGGGATCAAATTGGCCTCAGCAACTCAAAAGATTTGATAAGGACCTTCGGAGTCAGTGCTTAAGTTAATGGGGGGAAAAAATCACTACCATCAAATCAATTCTAACTCACAAGGACCCTATAGGACAGGGTAGAACTGTTCCTGTGGGTTTTGGAGATGAATTCTTTAGGGAGTAGAAAGCTGCCTCCTCCCTCAGAGCAGTTAGTGGTTTCCAACTGCTGACCCTGCAGTTAGCAGCCCACTGCATAGCTCGCTGCATCACCAAGGAGAAACCACTCAGGAAAGGAGGTGAGGCCAGCTGCCCCACTCAGGAGTGGGACCAGTGTCACAGAGAGCTGAACTGCTGTTTGCTGGGTGTGGTCTCAACAATATCAGTAAAGGTAAGAGGGAAACACCCACCCACCACCAAGGCTCTTTGGAAATGTGAACAGGCGTCCCAGAAGTAGCCCTGGAGCCACATGTTCTGGCCTCCTCAACCTCCCTTCTCCCCATGAGGAAGAGGAGGGAGAGGAAGGTCAGTACCAGAGTTGCACAGGGTCCACTCAGTGTGGCCTGGAGAATGCTCTAGGTTCCATTCAGAAAAGGTGGGAATCCCTGGGGGGCGGGGGAGGGGGGCCGGTATTCCAGGCCCCAGCAGGTCTGCATACCTGGTGACACAGCCCCCTAGAGTCCCCTCAGGGTAGCCCCTGGCAGCAGTGGGCAGAGGCAGCAACAAAGGAGCTGCCTTCCTCCAGATGCTGCTGCGGCACAGCACCCTCCCCCATCCACCCTTTTGTTCCAAGAACACAGTCCTGCCAGGCACCAAGGCGGCGCCCACACAGCCCTCTGAGACCTCCCACAGCTGGTGCGGACCTGGGGGCTCCTGTGCCAGGGCACAGGCCCTGCCAGTCAGAGGCCAGCGAGGGAGGGGCCATGGCAGCAGCCCCAGCCCTCTGGCCTCACCTGCGGGCCTCGCTGCAGCCAGCACCCGCCTCCATTCCCGATCATCCCTGCGCGGGGCCACGGGGGCCAGGAAAAACCGGGAAACCGCGAAACCCGGTTAGTCTCTCGGTGGCGGCGCGGTGCTCAGCGCAGCCTCTTCCTGCCCAGCAGCCAGTGGGAAGCAGGCTTCCCGGCGCAGGCGGCCAGCCCCGTCCAAAGCAGAGCCCACTTGGGGCAGGGGGTCGCCCAGACCCGTCGAGGTGGGCCTGGGAGGCGGGACAGGAAGGGTGCTCACTTGCAAGAACCTCTCACTTTCCGTCCTGCGGCCCACCGCGGGGCGGGGAACGGCAGCAGCTGCACCCCCACCCCGGGCATGCTCAGTAGCGCCCATCCCCAGCCGTGCAGCCATTTCCTGAAATGGAGGCTCTCACAGCAGAGCCACCCCAGCCCCTCAGCAGGCTGCCCACCTTGGCCTGCATGCACACCCCCGTCAAGGGACGCAGGCACTGTGTCCTCCCTACCTTGCCCTAACAATGGCGAGGGGCTCACCACAGAAACCGTGATCCAGCTTACCTGCACGGGGTCAGTTTTCTGATAAACAAATACAACACCAAGCAAAAGCTTTGAGGCTAGCTCTAGGAAAACAAAAGTGAGTCCGTGGCCCTGTTACCCAGAGCCCACAGGGCAGTGACCAGAGGAAGTCACCGAGCCCAGCGGTCAGTGCACAATGCCCCTCCCCCCTGAGGGCAGGGAGTAGAAGCACCTGCTCAGCTCTGGATGCTGTTCACACACACACACACACACACACACACACACACACACTGCCCTAGCCCACCCACGTCCCCACCCCTCACAGCAGCTCTCTCGAGATGGAATGCATTACAATAAACATCTGGAGTTCTTTGACTCAAAGTTCTTTGACTCAAATACTTTATAAAATATTTGAGTTTCATGCAAACTACAAAAAAAAAAAATTCCATTGTCAAGGATGATGAAAAGCAAGTAAATGCTAACCTTTCTCTATAGAAGCTATTCTGAAAGCCCCACCCACTCTCAGTCAGTGTGGACACTGGTGCGGACCACAGTCCAGCAGAGATAGCCCTCTGTGCTTGAGGCTGTCCCAGAGGGAATTGACACAATCTCTTTCAAAGACACACACATACACCCTTTGGTGGGCCAATTCCATCTTTTCATTCACTCCAAACAGTTGAAACATTCCTAGATTACAGGAACAAGCGTCCACTGCACGCTTCTCTCCAGATATTTGCGGGCGCCAATGCAACGTGTCCAAATCAGCCCATCTCTTCACTGCTGCCTGGCCCTCCTACCTAACAACACAGCACCAGGCTGGCTGCTCGCTGGCTCCCTCTGATGGAGGACACAAACTTCCTGCATCCACACCTACACTGACAAACTGCTTGCTCAAAGTTTAAAATGCCAAACATCTTTTCTTTTTCTCTGCAGGTCTTTCCTTGAACTACAAGTCTATTCTCAGCATTCTGGGTAGGAGGCAGATTTCCACCTAGGCCCTCAACTCTACCTACATATCTGGCTTAAAATCAAGCCTATTTCTTCTAGGCAATACCTAGTTCCTCTTTTGAGCACATCCAATCAAGTACAGCCCAATGATGGACTTACTACCTCTCTGTAATCATGATGATCATATTGATTTTACATCAAATACTTGGGCCTATTTACAATACCAGGTAGGAGAAACATTCAATATTCACAGTGCAGTCACTTAAACACATACCCTTAAATCTCTTGCTGACACTCAGATTTAACCTCCACCCCTGCTGTTTCCATTTATGTGCATAAGGCTCTTCTCCCCTCAGCTGCTGCATATTGTTTTCATACATTCCTTTCAGCTGCTACAGTTAGGGACCACCATCTAAGAATTAAAAGTTTTACTTCACGTGTCCGTTCTGCTTTCCCTCACAACAAACCCTACCTTCTGACACCAACTAGGGGAACTCATGGGTTAGGGCCACTCTGACCTCCTCCAGCTCCCACGGCAGTCAGCCACAAGGCAGACGTCAAACACCCCCCACCCTCTGTCCTTGTGAATCCTATTGTGACACCCACCATCCCCCGAGTGATGTTGAACACCGCACTCAAATTTCCCTGCACTCTGCTTTTCTCTTGGGTTCCACAATTCATTGCAATGGCCACACAGAACTCGTAGACAACGCTCACAATTAGAGATTTATTAGGAAAATTAATAGGTTACAATTCATGTGCAAAATGCTCAAGATACAGCTGGTCAGTCAGGACAGTTGATTCCCTGCCATGCCCACAGGCAGGCTACTCTCAGGTCCTCAGCCTCTTGGGCTGGCCTCTGCCCTGCTCAAGCAATGTTAAAAAGCTCTTCAAAGGATGCCAATAAATGTCCAACGGGCATGCCACTCTGCTACAAGCCTCAACTCAAAAGCACTTGGCTCCAGCTCTATCAGTGGGCAAACCAAGCTCCCCTACGTAAGTGCTCCGATGCTCCTCCCTCCACAAACCAGTCTCCGGCCCAAAAGCACTGAGCTTTACTTGCTCTGTGGGTTGGGGCACCCACAACTCTGCCTCCCGCTCTTGTTCTAGGTTCTGCTGCGGCTGCCCCGCGGGTATCCTGGACATCCAGGATCTCCCAGCTCTTGTTTCTGGCTAGTGATGAGAATCCCCTCTCCCCTGCTTCTAAGATGGCTTACCCATCAGTCAGGGTAGCCATCAATTAACCCTGTTAACAATCAGTCACAGCTGAATCATATAATCACAATCAGTAGCTTGCGCACCTTCTCACCCAGACCCCTCAAAAGAATGCAGGTCCTTTCGGTGGTCGGCTATAGGTAGAATTCCTACGATAAATGCAAATTGGTACAAACAACAACAACAAAAATTAAATTGTGCTGAGCAGGGTGAGCTTTCGGAGTATGCGTTTTTCCCACTAGGTGAGCATCAAGCAACTCGCTCTGAGTTAGTGCACCCAATGGCATTGCCTGGGAAGGTTCTCTCTGGTCACACTGAATTTTTTCATAAAAGCAGTTTCGCTCAAACCTCATTTTTTGTGATGGCCGATTTAAGAAAATGGCGGGCAGCTGTGGCATTTTTTTCCAGCTCGGGAAAAATGCCACATAAACTGTTGTGATCTTGAACACAGCTTACAAGGACAGCACTATGGGAAAAACTCAAGTGTACGAGTGTTTTCTCATTTCAAAAAAGGTGAAGTGTCGATTGGTGACAAACCTTGTTCTGGATGTTAGTCAATTTCCAGAACAGGCGAAAATGTCAACTTGTAATGCATTTGGAGTTTGTGCCACCAGGTCAAACTGTAATCAAACTTTTTATTTAAAGATTCTGAAAAGATTGTGTAACAGTGTGCAACAAAAAAGGCCTGATTTGTGGCAGACAGCGGAACGAACAGTGGTTTTGCCACCACGACAATGCACCTGCTCACACAGTCATCTCAGTGTGCCAGTTTTTGGCCAAAAAACAGCATGCTTCTGTTGCCCCACATACCTGATTCACCTGACCTCACTCCATGCAACTTCTTTTTGTTTCTGCAAATGAAGAGGGACACGAAAGGACAGTGATTTGACAACACAGAAAAGGTGAAGGAAAAAATGAGGGAGGTGCTGCCAGCCATCCAAACAGATGAATTTAAGAAATGTTTCCAAGAATGGAATTGCAGATGTGACAAATGTATTAAGTGTAATGGAGAGTACTTTGAAGGTGATAAGGTTGTTTTGTACAAAAAATTAAATATATAGACTTTTTTTTTTTTTAAATCCAGCTTTGGGGGATACCCCCATGTAATTCACTGAACTGTACCAGGTGTACAAAAACTGTCCAACTTAGAAAACACAAATGCGAGTTTCCATGCTAACACAGTTTTTTTTTAGTTGTACTTAGTAAAAGTTTAAAAATAGACTAAGAAGGTAAAAATCAGTAAATTAGGTAGAAGACAGTTTTGTAGCTCTGGTAAAAAAGTACCCAACAAACAGCAGCAATAAACTAAAGCAAACATCATCCTAAATGAGACTATTCGAACTCCCTTTAGAATCCAGAATGCTGACAGGAAGCCTTTAGAGTCTGGCAGCAAGGGAAGTCAGAGCAGACTGTGAAACAGGTGCTTGGGATGCCTGGGGAAAGGAGAGCAGCCTTCCCATTATTTTGGTAAATCTGAAAATGTGTCCAAGTAAAAAGTCAACAAAACATAAAAAGAAAGATGATACAGACTAAGGAGTACTCACTAGCATGGCTTCTACTCAACAAGGCACAAGATGCTGGGGACCTGGGGCCTGAAAAGGGAGACATGAGCAGACCTGGCGGAGAGCTACCATCGTGAGGCTATTGAATCCCTCCCTACTCTACATTATTTGTTTTAAAAGGGAAAATGTTAACTTCCCAAAAAATAAAGTCTTGAATGTCGAAAACAAAACTCTGGTCAAGAGTACAAAAGGTGAGACAGAATACGTTTGATGGGGTGAAGAATGCTTTCTTAAAACGCAGAGAAGACAGGCTGTACACTACACTGTCTTCACACTACACACAGTCACACATAGAGACGTGGAAGCAGTAAGAAAAGCACAAAGACCTCCCAAATCGGAAGATGGCATTCACAGACCCTGCCCACAAGAGGAAATACATTCGGACAGTAACCCAGGATACTGGTGGTGGAAGATAGCGAATGAAGATGCTAGCAAGAAGTGACTTCACACTCAGTAAGAGGTGGGCCCAACAACCCCCTCTCTGCCTCCACCTTCAGAGACCCCAATGCTGGCTTGGTTCCACACTGAGGGCGAGGCCAGTGTGTGCTCGGCATTAGGAAAGCCTACAGCGGGACATGTAACTCAGTGACTTGGGAAGTCCAATCCAGGGGCATGAGGGACAGTAGAGGACCACTCCTGGCAGCACTGGCCACAACTGTGGAGCTCAGAATGTGGGAGACACGTGAGCCACTGAAACCCCCCTCTGAGGATGGATACCAAGACTGCTCTCTAACAGCCACTGGGAGAAGGAAGACAAAACCGGCAACAGCAACATGCACAAGGTGAACCATAGCCACATCCATGAAGAGGGAATTCCAACA